TGTGATTTTCATCAGGAAAGGTCAACCGAGTATGTATCACCAAGGAATATTTATGTATATACCTAGGATAAAACTCACTTGAGTACATCGTATGGCATTGTGTATCAACAGCTTTACAAAGTGTATTAGCATCTTCTCTAGTCACCATCTCCGATTTTCCTGTAAGAGTTTGAAAAAAAAAAATGTTTCTTGTTCTAGGCTCTTCGGAGTGACGGGAAACTGCGCTGCCTGCAGTAAGCTCATCCCTGCCTTTGAGATGGTGATGCGTGCCAAGGACAATGTGTACCACCTGGACTGCTTTGCCTGTCAGCTTTGTAATCAGAGGTACTCAGATTTCATTTTGTCTCCTAAAAACTGCAAAGCTCTCTTTTCTGGCTATTTATTTAACAGATGGGAAGTATACCAGTACACTTTATTTAAAGCAATTACTCTCAGCATTTTTATTTTCTACAAATGTTCATTCAGTGCCAGAAATGAACCACTGAGGAGCAAGGTCTCAAAACTGCATTTCTATGTAAAAGAAACCCATCACATAACAGGACGTGGTAGAAAATGAAATCAATTCTGTAAACTTTTAGTCTTCTTATTACTTATTATTCATTCTCTTCCTTGCTGTTTTTCTTTAAACCCTGGCCGGTTTGGCTCTGGGGATAGAGCGTTGGCCTGTGGACTGAAGGGCCCCAGGTTCGATTCCGGTCAAGGTTACATACCCGGGTTGCGGGCTCAATCCCCAGTCGGGGACGTGCAGGAAGCAGCTGATCAATGATTCTCTCCTGTCATTGAGGTTTCTATCTCTCTCCCTCTACCTTCCTCTCTGAAATCAATAAAAAATAAAAAGCACGTTTAAACTATTTTTACTTTTTCATACTACTGTGAGCAAACACATTTGCACTGAGGCAAATAGGGATTTGTGGCAGGTAGTATTTTCTTGTTGTTCATAATTATAGTTGCCTTACCTCTTGATTTCTGTTTTTTAATATTTTTATTGATTTCAGAGAGGAAAGAAGAGAGAGAGAGAGAAACATCAATGATGAGAGAGAATCATTGATCGACTTCTCCTGCAGACCCCCACACTGGGGATCTAGCCTGCAATCTAGGCATGTGCCCTAATCAGGAATTGAACTGTGGCCTCCTGGTTAATAGGTCGACGCTCAACCACACCGCTGAGACACACTGGCTGGGCTTAATTTCTTATCTTGAATTTTAACCTTGTTTTATATGTACTTTTCAAGTTGCTTCAAGTCTCTTTGTGAACAAGGCCAGAGATAGCTAATAATCAGCATTGGAGAGGCAGCATTGAAGAATAGAGTGCTGCACAGTATATCTAAAAACCTAAATTCTGGTCTGGACTTTGCCCCTAATAATATGTCTGACCATAAACCAATATTAGCTCTCAGGACCTCAGTTTTCTCATTAATAACACAGGGAGCTGGATTAGTCAATTGCAGAGAATTCTTTCATCTGAAAGGCTTATGACTTCATCCCGTTTTTCTTTATTGAAAAAGTTATAACTTTGATTTCCACTGGGAACTATATACTACTGGTACCTATTTTATGTGACAAATGCAGAGGATATTAGAATATTAAAATGCACACATCATTAACAATGTATTTCAAAAATTAGTACACTTGATGGTTTTAATGGAAATAAATCCCGTGCAAGTGTGAAAACACCTGGACATAGTATATAATCAGAAAATATTAGTTGTGGCCAGTTTTCAGTTATTGCCATTTGCTGTTTTACTGTTCGATGCAGCGCCTTCTTATGAGGCCCTATAGAGCAGTAGAAAGAATATTATGTTACAGTGAGAACTGGATTCAAATTCCAGCCCCACCATGAATCAGCTTGTGACCTTGGGAATGCTACTTAACCTCTCTGATTGTGTTTTCACACCCTTAAAATAAAGACAGTAATGCTTGTCTTACAGATTTTGAAAATCAAATCAGATAATTTATATAAATACTGGGAATAGGTTCTTAGAAATTGGAATCAGAAATTAGGAAAGAAAACAATAGGTTCTCAAAAAACTAGTTCTTTTACCTTGACATTTATAACTTATTTTTACCAAATAATATTTCACTAACTTGGTTTTTACACAAGATATATAGCTCAAGCCCGGCTGCATGGCTTAGTGGTTGAGTGTCAACCTATCAACTAGGAGGTCACGATTCGATTCCTGCTCAGGGCACAGGCCTGTGTGAGGGGCTCCATCGCTAGTGTGGGGCATACAGGAGGCAGCCCACCAATAATTCTCTCTCCTCATTGATGTTTCTCTCCCTCCCTCTCCCTTCCTCTGTGAAATCAATAAAATACATTTTAAAAAGATGGATAGGTCAATAATATCTCTTGCTAAATAGATATTCAGAATGTGACTTAGTATACATACCTTGCCGTATATAATTGGCCCAGGAAATAATTAAAGAAGTCATCTCACAACATCTTGAGTCTTCCCAACAAATGCCTGGAATCAACATGGTTTACTTCAGCCTACAGTGACAT